TGCTTCTCCCCCTCCCACTCCCCCTGCTTGTGTTCCCTCTCTCGCTGTGTCTCTCTCTGTCAAATAAATAAATAAAATCTTAAAAAAAAAAAAAAAAGGTGGTTGTGAGGAGCAATGCCATGAAAGCAAGTCAAGTCCTTAACACGGTGCTGGCACCCACCCCGGGGGCTACTATTAATTATCGCCTACTAGCCACTTGCCCCGGAGGGATGTTGCCCTCAGAAGGGACCACCCCTCCCTCAGGCTCTGTTCCCCGACCCCATGAGGGAGCCTGCCTCTGCCCCCACGTCATCTCTGTCGCGGCACTAGCACACTGTGCCGTGTTGGTCGGGTTTCTTGTCCATCTCTCCATTCAGGCATGAGCATCTTGGCGGTCAGGATGGGACTTACATGCTGGGACATTCATCCACTCATTTCTCACTTACTGAGTGCCTCCCACGTGCCAGGGGTCACTGAGTGGTGAGTAAATGAGGCAAGTCTTGGGATGACCTACAGAAACATCTATATCCATGGTCCAATCAGCAAGCATATGTACCCATCACCCGTGGTGAGCCCTTTGCAAACCGCTTTGGGGTCAAAGAGCACTGCAAAGGGGAAGACAGCTCGCACTCAGGGAACGTGGCAGCCCTGGCAGTTGATCTACGAGGCCACGTGCTGGATTTCCTGTAAAGCAGAGCTGATCAACAACCCCACCCCACCCCTCTCTCTCCTTTCCTCCTCCCTCCCTCTCTAAGTCCAGAGAAACCTAGCAATTGTTTCAGACTTTTGGATGCTCTAAAGGTAACGTTCAAAAGCCTAGACTCAGGAGGGGCCATCCACATAGTTCATCAGCCAGGGCTTGAAAAGAACAAAACAACCCACAACCACCATTGCAGCTTTGTTTGTGAGACGGGTTTCTTTGCTTACTGGATGTCCCTCCCACAGCCCCTGGGCTCTGGTCCCATTGCCCTGGAGGAAACAGGCCAGTAGAGACAGGAGAGCCATCATGCAAAGAGCTCAGTACACCTAAGCTTAAAATGCCCCCTCCATTGTCTCCCAACAAACAGGAACGGACTCCCTATGGCTGAAAATTTAGTCACACCCCCGCCCAAGGCCCCATCACCAGCCCCCATCTTCACACACCTTGGCCTCTGTCAGGCCCTTCCTAGGATTTGTACCACATACATGCAGTTTCCTGTCTGTCACACCTATGCTCACTAGTCCCCCACCCAAACCCAGCAAGCTCCTACTTCTCCATTAAGACCCAACTCCAATATCCTCTTCTCTCTGAAACCTCTCCTGACTCCCTCGTGGCTGGTGCCTTTTGGCCCCCAATTCTCTGCTCTTATCTCTTCTCCACTTGACAGTCTGATGACCTGTTCATGTGTCCCTCACACATCACGGACTATGACCATGATGATAAGGACCATGTCCTCTTCATGTTTGTGTCTCTGGCACCCAACACCAGCCACTCACCCCATGCATAGTCCAAACCCACCCCGACACTTAAGATCATGTAGTCTAAACCAAATGCTCCTTACAGCACCAAAAAGATTTTCACCTAGAGGCAAACAGTGGAGGTAGATTTCACAGGGAACACAGCCTAAGACCTGAACAGCAGAAGGTAGCTTTCCCTAGAACCAGACACCCAAGCGTCATGAAGAATCTGCCTGCTGGTAGGTGAAGAGGTGCTACTCAAGATGGCAGCCAAGGTGTAATGTTCTGGGCCTCAGTGAAAATGCAGGTGATGTCCCAAAGATCTTGGGTCTGACCTTACTGCAGTCATTAGCACCCAGGGGAATCTGTTTCTCAGATCAGCCAGCTGGTGACCCAAGAGAGGGGCTGATGCCAGGAAGCAGTAAGAGTGTGGTGTCTGGAAGGGAGAAGGCAGTGCTACAGGGGACCTGAGGGGGTCTCTAACGTGTTGATGGACAGGGAGCTTCTCACCTTGCTCCATCCTCAAAGGCAACTTATTAGAGTATTTCTGTGACCCCTAACAAAACGCAAGGCCTTGCACATACCGGGTAACCTCATCCCACTGAAGTTTGGGGGACAACCTGCCAAAACGAGGCAAACTCAGGGGGACCATAGCTGTGTGGGTCAGCTGTGGAAGAAGCCAGAATACACCAACGTGCAGGTATTTGTGCAAGGCCATCTGGCCTACAGAGCAAGTGTCCAAGGGAACAGCGAGGAAGGGGCTCAGCTTTCAAAGGCAGTGCTGGATTCAGGGAAATCAAAGATTCCAAGTTGGTGAAGCGATCACCTGTAAACCTGGTATCCAGTATCACACACAACTCAAATGGGAGGTCAGTGACCAGTTCCAGACCTGGTTCTCCAAAACCCCCTGTGGGTCATTAAATTCTCTTAGCAGGTTTTCCCTTGACTATATAAATGGTCCGTTTAACACTCGGAGAGTAAATGTATTCTGAATCTGATCAAGGTAAGGTGGGAGACCCACCCATCACACGTTCGTTGCCGGATTTCACCAACACTTACGTGCTGGCCGCGCACTGCAAGGGGCACGGGCTTGGAAAGGACAAGCTGGAGTCAGACAGCTCCTCACCCCGTCTGCGCCTCTCTCCCCCGGGCAGGTGTGCTGACCCCACGCCCTCCTCCCCAAAGACTTGGTGCTGTTCTGACCCTAACCCATGGCACACTTAAGGCTCCATTTAGCATCAAGTTCACTGGTGCTGACCCGGCACTGCGACAGAGGACTGACCCCAATGTGCTGTCTCTCTGAGGCTAGGCTCCCAGCAAGGAGGAGAGGAAAAGAACAGGAGCCGTGAAAATCATGGCCCAGTCGTGGATCACAGGTGTGGTAGGGGTGGGAAATCCGGTGGACTTCGGCTCTTATCGACGCACACCACAAACCGCAGCTCGTGTTTACTGAGCGCTTACTCTGTGGGGAGGACCGAGCTAAACCCTCCACCTGCAGAGCGTGAAGCGCGTGAGCCCCAGGCCAGACGTCCGTGTGAATCCTGGCCCTACCGCTCCTCCGCTGTGCGACTTGGTGCAAACTGCTTAGCCTCTCTCTGCCTCCGTTTCTTTGTCGGGAAAACAGGGCAACACCGGCTCGAACTTTAAAGGTTCGTTGTGAGGATTAAATGAGTAAAAACATAAAATGCTAAACTTGAACCCTGTCCTGGCATGGAGTGGCAGTCAGTATTATCCCATCCGTTCGTTATGCCGGGCTGCAGCGAAGACAGATCATTTCTTCCCATTTGACCAATAAGGCTTTGAGAGACTGAGTCAGCTTGCCCAAGGTCACAGAGTGGGTAAGTGGCAAAGCTGGCATTTGAACGCACGCAGCCTGACTCCAAAGCCCGCAAGCTTAACCACCACCATGAGTCCAGCACTGTGTTAGCTACGAGGTACCCAGAGACCAGTGTGGGCATGAGCGAGGGATCCCTATGGGGAAGGGACACTGAAAGAAAAAGGCAGTGGAGGGCCCGAGCTGGGGCAGCAGGGAGTGACCGGGTTGCTTCGGGAAGTGAGGGCTCCTACGCTGGCAGTGGACTGGAGCTCAAGTCTCAGAGAATGATGAGGAATTTGCCAAGGAGGAGGAAGGGCATTCCAACAAGTCGGCACCTAGAATACCAAAACAGTAAGTTGGGTGGTGGTAGGGCAGGCACCTCAAGATGGGAACTAAGGCGAGGCTGGGAAGGTAAGGTGAGGCCTTACCATGAACAGCCATGTGAGCCAACGTCGGAGATAAGATGGGACCCTGCAAGACAGCGATTCGCAAACTTGAGTCTGTACGGGATCTAGCTTGGTTGCTTGTAAACCACCCACAGCTTCCCATCCCTTCTGTTAGCCCTGGGGAGCCAAAGACCGCATTAAGACAATGCAGTCGCATGGTCTGCTGTGGTTTGAACAACAGAATTCTGGTGCTGGACTGAGAGGAGATCTGGGGACAGAAGCTGGTATAATCGGCCAAACTGGAGCAGATAAGAAGATGAGAGCTGGGAATAATAGCACCCTTCATGGACTGATACATTACACCAGGGTTTCTCCACTCAGCACCACTGACATTTGGGGCTGGCTAATTCTTTGCTGTGGGGGGGCTGTCCTGAACATTATAGGCTACTCAGCAGCATCCCTGGCCCCTGCCCACCAGACGAACAGCATCCTCCCCCACTTACATGTTGACAGCCAAAAATGTTTCCAGACATTGCCAGATGTCACTTGGGAGGCTAAAATGGAAACCCCGGTTGAGAACAACTGCTTTAAATCCTCCCATCCCTACTTTACAGATGAGGAAGTCCAGCTGCAGAAAGAAAGGTACAGGAGGGCCTCAGCCAGACTCACACGCTGGTAGTCCGTCTCCAGGGCCTGGGCTCTTAGCCACTGAGCTGAACTGCCTGTCCAGAAAGAGATTCAGGCCAGCCTTCTGGGGCACAATTATGTATTTCTTGAGAGACTGGATGATGAGAAGAGGATGAAAGAGTTAGGTTCACAGGTGAAACGTCAGTGCTTGCCACTGAACTGTGAAGACAGTAGGTACTAAATAAATCGTTTGGATTTGACTAGAATCAAGATGCATTTGCTCAAAAAAGAAAAAGCCTGATTCTCCATGGTATGAGCCAGCGGTAGATGACAGGTTCCTGCTCACTCTGGATAGAGGAAACTCTCTGTAGGGCTGGACATGGGATGTGTGGTATAAATCAGCTGGTACCCAGATCCTAGCTGGGCCCCTTCCCAGCTGTGTGGCCCTGGGACACATTACTTAACCTCTCTGCGTCTCATTTTGCCCGTCTGTAAAACAGGGGGAGGAGTCCCTACTCAGAGGCTTGATGATGTGAGAATTCAGGCAGTTAATAAGAGCAAAACGGCAAGCTGGCACGATGCCGTTGGCCCTCCTCTCCCTCAGAGAGCCATCCTCATTACCTCCCCGCCTCCCTCGCGCCCGGGATTCAGTGCTCCCCCCACTCCTTCCAATCCTGGGGAACCGGGCCAGAGCGGCAAGGAGCGGACTGTGCCCCTCTCCACCAGCAGAGCGTCCCACTGAGGCTTTAGGGGGCGCCAACAGTCTTTCGACTCCCCAGTGCGCTCTGATTTCAGGGTCCTGGGGGGTCGCCAAAAGCGCACGGCGAGCTGGGTGCCTCCAAAGGGAGCGAGATCCGTGGGTTTCAACGCGCGCCCCAGAAATTTCGGGCAGGTTCGCACCCGGCAGGCCCGGGGTCAAAGGCAGTCACTGCCGCGGGCCGGCCCGCTCAGCCCAGGCTCCCGAGGCGGAGGAGGAGCGAAGCGCCGAGATTTGGGCAGGACCCGCTCTCCGAAGCCAGGCTGCAGAGGCAGAGAGCAGAGTTTGCGGATCGAGAAAAAGAAGCTGGGGGCGGGGGAAGCAAAGGGAGAAGAAGAGGAAGAGGAGGCAAAAAAAGAAAGGGCTGGGAAGCCGAGTTCTCTGGGGGACCCAGCCTGCAACACCTGGGCTGGGGGTCAGGAACAAAGCAGCGGCTTCAGGTCAGAAGTGCTCTGGGTGTTTCCGAAGAGAGGCGCTCCGGGGAGGCCCAGGCTGGCTGGGGATGCCTGGCGCCCCTGCGCCCTGGGCGCGCTCTCGGGCGCCGCTTACCTTCGCCGGGGCCGCCGGCGCGCACTTCCGGGGGCTGCGCTCGGGGCGCGCCGGGCCGAGCCGGGGGACCCGGAGCCGATCGCCGCGGGGAGGAAGCGGCCCAGCGGCGCCCGGGACTTGGGCGGGCGCTGACGCCTTGGAGAGAAATCCCAGTGGAGGAGCCGCCGGGGCCGGCGCGGGGCGCGGGGTCCTGGCCTCGGCGCTCACGGGCTGTCGCACCGAGCCCCGCAGACGCTGGAGGAGCCCGAGTCAGTGGGAGGAAAAGGTTGTCTCATTTCCTTCGGTCTCCCCCCTCCTCCACCCCCTCGGCTCCGGACCTGCCCTCCCTCTCCCCCGCCCCCTTCCCCAAGCCCGCGGCCCATGTGGGCGAAGGAAAGACGCGAAACCTGAACGGCTGCGGCGTGCGGCGCCTCCTTCCACGCCAAGTTAGTTCCCGCTCCCCAACTCCTGCCTGCCTCCGCGCGCTTCCGACCCTTTCCAGGGCCCCGCAAGGTTCCCCATCGGCAGTCTCCACCCTGTCCCGGAGCTCTAGCCTTTTCCCCCTGCTGGGACGAGTCCAGATCTGAAAGCAGATCTCCAAGCTCTTGCCAGCATCCATCCTCTCATTCCTGTCCCGTCGCCTGCTTTGAGCCCCGATTAAACCACCCAACCCAGACAGGATATTAGTACTTACTTTGTTAAATTTGATCAACTTTTTTTTTTTTTTCCAGTGGGGTGTTTAAAGCCTGATGCGTAATCTCGAAGGAATGTTCATTTTGATCAGAAGGAGAGTAGCTGAGGTCTTTGTTTGGCCTTGCTCGTTCAGAGTTGAGGTTTTGTTTGTTAAATTCAGCAACTATTTATTGAGAGCCCGATCTGCGTTGAGCTGGGCGCTGGAAACGCAGAGATGAACCAGAAGGGCATGTTGTTCCTTGACAGTCGTCGTCGTCGGCGACAGGTACAAGCACAGAGGAGGTCCAGGGATGCCGTGGTCTCTTAAGAGAGAGGTCAGGGACTGGAAGAGCCTTCTGTGGAGTAAAGACAGCATGGGCAGAGGCAAGAAGGAATGAGAAAGCCCCATGAGGAGGCCGTCTGGCAGAGAACGTGGCCAGAGCGGGGACCGGTGGTGGGGAAACAGGGAAGAGAATGTCGAATCAGTCCATCAAGAAAGGATAGGAGCCGCAGGGAGCAGTGGGGTGGAATTGACAGGACCTGGTGACAAGAGCTGCTGGGGGCAGATAAGGAGAGGATGAGGGGAAGAGGTAACTTCCATACCTCAGGCTGGAGTAACCAGTGACCAGTGGATGAACAGAATCCAGCGTGCCTTTTGGCTCTGCTACCCAAGGGTGGGTGTTCCTGAGATCGGCAGTATTGACATCAACTGGTAGCTTATTAGAAATCGGAACTTGCCAGTCCCACTTGACCTACCGAATCAGAATCTACATTTTCACAAGATCTCCAGAGATTCAGATATGCACTAGAATTTTGGGAGCACTGCTCTCTAGACCACTGACCGTGTACTGGAATGACTGTATATTAGACTGTGAAGCCCCTCCTGTATATTAGACACACCTGGGGAGCTTTAAAAACTAGTATGAGGCCCCTGCCGCACCCCCACAAATACTTATTTAACTGGTTTGGGATGATCTCCTTTGAAATGCTTTCCAGATGATCTAATACAGTCAGAGTTGAGAACCACTGTTCTAGACTTGTTCGAGAACTACTTCATTTAACCTTGAAATGTACCTCTTCAGAAAGGGAAAGAACACCCATGTGTAAATGAAAACTTAAAGACTAGTTATCTCGCTCTCACACAGAGTCGACCGGTCTGCTGGAAAGGGCCCTTGTTTCCTAAACTTAATCAGGAAAGCAGATTCTAGCCTCAGATGGCCCCTAAATTACTCTCCGGACTTGGGCACGTACTCCCCTCTCAGGCCTTAGGCTCCTTATCTGTAAAATACACACCTGACTAACTTGCAACGTGCCACGATCAGAGCTTCTAACTCTCCAGCTTTATCAGCAGGCATGGAAGGCGGTGTTGACAAGTGGGTTTTCCTGGTTTTAGTCTTATGTGCACCGGCCCCATGCACAGCCATGCATGAACAGGAGGAAGCCAAGGATTGTGTGCTGAGCACAGGGCCACACACATAATTGGTGTTCAATAAACGTGTGCCAAATGTACGAATAAATAATTAAATACACTGATGCCAAGAGATGGCATAGACTTACCACAGTCTGGCCCTAATCCGGGGCCTCTTCATTTGTCCCCCTAAACTGGAGGAAGGACATCTGGAAATACTCTGACCCATGAACCTAGCTTTGGATTTAAAACAACTGCTGTTAAGAACTGCTAACATTTGTTGAATACTTAGTGCACACAGGCCTTGGGCTAAATACCCTGCTTAGGATCAGCTCATTTCATTATAATGAAGAAGGTACTGTGGGGCCCCTGCACCCCAGCTGGTTGTAGGAACCACAGAGATAGAGGCACCCCCTGCCTCTGGTTGTGCAGCTCAACATAGACTCCTGAGCCCTCTTGGGGGTCTTCTGTGGGTCATTCTCCAGAACATACGTCCTTGCGTAGAGACCAGCTTTGAAGGGGTGGCTCTGGAGTGACTGCCCCAGGGTCCTACAGAAACAGATGCGTCCAGAAGCTACCCCAGGCAGCCTATGGGCAGCTACGGCTGAGACTCCTGCAAGCTACTGGCTTCGTGGCCGCGCACGCGCGTGCACGTGCGTGCCTTTTACGTGGACTAGCCTTTCAGTGGCCAGACCCTGCGCCCGGCCTTGTCACCTGTATTTCTTTCCATCCTCGCGGCGTCTTGACAGATGAAGCGCTCCTGTTTTCTTATTTTATAAACGAGACTACTGAGGCATCATGAAGGGAAGCTCTTTTTGTCCCTGCGGCTCCTCTAGTACCCCGTCCCCCGCCACCCCTGCCCCCCGACCCTGCCCCTTCCAGGGAAAAGAGAGTCCTTCCTTCAAGTCCCATTCATTTGTATGGTTACACATCATCAAAACTCTCTATGCCTCGTTTTCCCACCTGAAAAATAGTTGTCCGTGATTGCCTTTTTATTGAGGTCCTGTGTGTGTGGCTGGACACCCCATAGCCTGAGAGGAAGTAAGGGGATGTAACCTGCAGGCTGAGAGAAATTGAAAGTAAGTGGGGCTATTTATCCCAAGATGAGATCTACTTTCCATCTCTAGGAGGACGTAATGAAAGAATAGCGTGACACCGGGGCGGTGTAATGGGCGGCTCAGCCAGTTAAGCGTCTGCCTTCAGCTCGTGTCAGGATCCAGGGTCCCGGGATCGAGCCCCGCGTCGGGCTCCCTGCGTCCCGGAGGGTCCGCTGCACTGACCTGAAGGGCGGAGGTGGGTGAGAACACAAGGCAGGGCTGAGATCCAGAGGACCAGCTGGGCAGGGACAGAGGCAGGAGGGAGTCTGTCTGCACAGGTACGGCGTGCAGCTCTAGTTCCAGCCCGGGGTGGGGAGTTAGAAAAAGGTTCATCCCAGGAAACCGGGGCATGAAGTGACCACGGCATGGTCCAGGCCTGGGGCTGTGAGTTGGGCTCTGGTGTGAGCAGCCTCGCGGGTGTGGCCGCCAGCAGGCCTGATCCTCCCTGTAGAGGATGCAGGAACCTCAAGGCGCTGGTGCTCAGAGCGGGGCTCCACCACCCCACACGCTGGTGTCGTGGGCTACAGCACAGCCAACTCAGGACAAGGTCCCTTCAGTTAGCCCAGAGGACATGTGGTCACTTTAACCATCAGTGTGGCGGGGCGGGGGCGGGGGTGCCGTGGCATTCCTTTGGCAACATCCTGATGCCAGGATCGCGTAGGAGGATCCCTCTGTGATGCCTCGCTGAGCCCATGGATTTGCTTCTGTTTGCCCAGGCCCCCAGACGCGTTCCTGCTGGTGCCAGTTCCCAAACTCCCATCCGTGTTGCTATGACAGCAATATGACCATTTTACCCAAAGTTCATTTTTACTACTGCTGTTGCCTCAAACAAAAATATGACCTCAGACTTTGATTATCCCCATTTTATTGTTAAGGAAATTAAGGCCCAACACCCAAAGGCAGACACCAAAAAAAAGCCAAGCTACCAGCTGACCTAAGGTGAGACCTTCATGCCCCTATGGTTCCACCCGAAAATAAGCTGCAATGAGGTATGTCTAGATATGTCCTCACCCCAAACCCGTGTGTCCCCGTGTGACCCATTTATCTATCAATGCAGTTCAGTTAACTGTCATTTCCTGGAGACCACCTGCCCTTCACAGGAAATTGTCCAAACACTGTAGACAACCTACACTTGACACTCAGTCCTCACTCGGGGAGCATTTTAAAATAACAGGCTGAGCTTCAGACCAGACCAATTGAATCAGAATCTCTAGAGGTGGGACTTTTTTTTTTTTTTCTTTTTAACTTCTACAGGTAATTAAAATATGCAGTCAGTTTTAAGAACCACTTCTGTAGGAAATGCGGAGACAAAGTCTAGGTCCTAACAGATGAGAAATGTACAAAACAGTAAGAAGCTCAGTCAAGTAGAGGATGGTTTCCAAAAGTCATCAGGAAAAGGAAAATATTGAAATCACTCCCTTGTCCGAAGCACGTTAAGACAATGCCAAACTGACAACAATCCCTAGATTGATCTCAGCCTTGAGTGAGTGAGGTCATCCCCACATGGTCAAGGGTAGGAAATCTGGTTCCATCCCAAGAAAGTACAAATGACTGAAACCAGAATCCTTGCCCCTTCTCCTATGGCACTGCTATTTACAAGAAGCCTTCAAAAGTCCAGTGCTTATGAATTCCAAAAGTAGTAAATGATCTCCAGAAGCGTCAGAGCAAGGCAGTCATGTAAACCGAACAATGAAAGACAAAGGAAATTGCCTCATGGCCCAATGAGAGGCTAATGGATGTGCAGACGGAGACACCAATGTGTCACCATTAATGATGTCACTTCGGGAAAATCGGGAGGATGAGATTTTTTTTTTTTTTTTAATCCTTTGCCCTATGGTCATTTCACATTTACCCATCTTACAAAAGTGAGCTTGAAAAGAAAATGGGTTGTGTATAAAATGTGAGTTTGGAGAAGCAGGACGATTTCTTTTTCTTTCTTTTTCTGAACGCACTGTCTCACTTTTGCCATCACATTCCCTGGCAAAGCAATGGCATTTCTGTGAAGGCCCACGGATAGTCATTTAACCAGATGGCATTTCAGTTCATTCATTCCATGACAGCCTGCCGAGATGAAACCACTCCTTCGATAGTATCAGCTACTAATGCCTCCCAGACACCTCCCAGACACGGAAGCACGGAACACATCCAGGACAAACTTTCACCAGCTTTGTACAAGGTCTCATGGATGCGTTTAATCACCATATCAATCAATATTGAGGGTTATGTCCTCTCTGAAGTTCTAGTTCCCAGATGCGTACAACCAAATTATAATATCCACGTTCCCAGGCTTTCTCTGCCTTTTCCCCCAAGTGGAGTTTTACCTGTACACAGGAATATGAGGGGATTCTGGGCACACCAGTCAGGAGTTTCAAAGAAATTTTAATAGAATATAAAAACCCAAGAAATATAAACCAAACAGATGGGTCCCCCCACGCCGCCTGCTAATAAGCGTGCTAATCACCTCCCCCACTTTTCTTAAAATGCTTTGTGCTCAAAAGGGATGAGAGAATGAGAAGAAAGCATCAGTGAAGCATGGTCTCTCCTCTGTTTCAAAGTGGAGGCTTATCTCTCGTTGAATTATTTCCTCCCGGGTCCCAGTCAGAAGAGCTGAAGTCTAAATACTCTTGGCTCAACCACTGTGTCTTACTCGGAGTACTGGAGTAGAAATCAAAATATTTCTCTAGCCAGTGGCTGTTGCCCAATACAACCTTACCTCTGATTAATGATGGGTCTTGAATCAACACATATCCACCAGTTAAACCATAAACATAGCTTAGTATAAATTTTGTGTCTTCCCCCCCTCCATTTTCCATAGGGAGATTCTCACGTGCGGGCTGACACCTCCTTTCCTTCCTTCATTTCGGCCAACAGGGTTAAATAAACATGAACGGAACTTCAATAAATCATCCATATAAACACTCCCTCTCTCTAACCAATAGGAAGCCACTGTAAAAGTGAGAGGTTTCAATTATAAAAACATGAAAAGATGGAACTGTGAAGCATGCCTAATGAAATAGCTAATAGTTAATCTCTAAGACAAGGCAAGTTAGACCCTCTGGCCACAATATATATGACCCTAAAAAGTATCTAGAAGATAAATATCTTTCTACTTTTCTATTGAAAATATCATAGACTCATTATAAAACGGAGACATTGTACTATAATTTTAGTCTCATGACCTGTTAAAAAATTACACTTCAGATGTGGCAAATAAAAAGTCACATTTTTAGAGAAATAAGAAACACTAGAGTTCCAAACAAAGTATAAAATTTAAATTAAAGGGGCACCTGGGTGGCTCAGTCGGTTAAGCAACCAACTCTTGGTTTCGGCTCAGGTCATGGTCTCAGGGTCGTGAGATGGAGCCTGGCATCAGGCTCCACACTCAGCCCGGAGTCAGCTTCAACTTCTCTCTCCCTCTCCCTCTGTCTCTCCTGCTCATGTGTGCTCTCGCTCTCTCTCTCAAATAAATAAGTAAATTTTTTAAAAATTTAAATTAAAGTAGCTCAACCTACCAGCATAATTGAACTGGACATTGAGTCCTCTTTCAGCGCTCCCTTACAAGACTACCTGCAGTGGTTCTAAATTCCTCCAAGACTTTTTTCCTGTGACCGAAAGGTGTGAGCTTGAGAAAGTCATAAGCAAATTAGAGTGAGTTGGTCTGAAAGATAAGTGGGCAAACGTAGGACAGACGACAAAACGTACCCAACTATTCATTTCCCTGAAGAGAGTGCACTAGCCAGATGGTTGAGGGGGCCCCGAACTTGTGCACACCCCGCAGCACATCATTTACCCTGTTCTCTGGTTCATAAATTTCATGGTAGCAAGTTCTGGAACATGGTGTCCTTATGCACAGGTGTGCTAGATGTAATCGAACCAAATGGATGGCAGTCTGTTCATTAACCCGGTGCTTAAATCGGAG